CCAGGGGGACTTCGCATTCTTCGGTCCACAAGAAGTTTATGGCTTTCTTCACTAAGTTGAAGAAAGGTTTGCACTTGTTTGAGCTTCTGCTTATGAACTTATTTAGGGCTGCGGCCCTTCCAGTTAGCATTTGTACCTATTTTACCGATGTCGGGCTCTGTAACTCCAGGATGGCCTTGATCTGATCTGGGCTGGCCTCAATGCTCCTTCCGGTCACCAGGTACCCCAAAAACTTACCAAATCCAACTCCAAATGCACACTTCGATGCATTGAGTCAGAGCCGATATGTTTTAAGGATCTCAAATACTGTTTTTAGGTCGGCTAGATGCCCCTCAAGTTCCTTTGTCTTTACGACCATGTCGTCGATGTAAACTTCCACCATTCGGCCAATCAGGTGTCTGAACATCTTGGTTACCAACCTTTGGTAAGTTGCTCCTCCGTTTTTCAACCCAAAAGGCATTACTCTGTAACAGTACAGGCCTTTTAGGGTGATAAACGCAGTCTTCTCCTCATCTGGGGGGTACATGGCTATCTGATGGTACCCCCTGTAGGCATCCAGGAAGCTCATCCTTCCATGCCCTAAAGTGGCGTCTACCAGTTGGTCAATCTTGGGTAAAGGAAAGCTGTCTGTGGGACATGCCTTGTTCAGGCTGGTAACGTCCACGCAGACCCTCCATTTACCATTCTTCTTCTTTACCACCACTGTATTGGATAGCCATGTCGAGTAGTTAACTTCTCTAATGGCCCTGGCCTCCAGAAGTCTGTCTACTTCTTCCTCCACTGCTTCGACGTGCATCAACGTCAGTCTCCTTGCTCTTTGGATTACAAGTTTGGTTGACCTGTCAACGTTCAATTTATGGCAAGTGACCTCAGGGTCAATGCCAGGCATTTCGTAAGGCGTCCAGGCAAACACCTCAATGTTTACTCTTAAGAGAGCCTCTAGCTTTATTTCCTCTTCTCGGCTAAGCCCAAGCTGAGAAGAAAGAAGCATTCTTCATCCTCCTCCTGGACGAGGATTTTCTTCAGTGCTTCTTCACTCTTCTCGGCTGGACGTGGTTCTCAAAATCACAACGCTCTCTTTGCATTTGATTTGTATGCACTTGTTAAAAGAGAAATAACAGGGTCCAAGATTGATTTAAATTTGGAGTGCTCTAAGATTGTGTTTGGATCAAGATATTTGAATATAGGGGAATAGAAATGTTAACTACTATTTCATTAACTTTTCTTCGTATTTTTATTTTTTTTCTTCACATATTTGTACTCAAATTTTTAATTCAAACACAATCAACTTAAAATGGCCTATATATAGCATAAAATGAGCTAAGTAAGGATACCATATAACGAATGTGAAAATAATTTCCTTCATTATGTTTCCACTGTTTCCAATTCAATCCTTTAGGGCACCTCCCCCTAAATCTTCAAAAATTGATATGGCAAATATTATTTTTTTAGATGGTAAATTGACATATGCAAATTTGACATCTCTAAAAAGAAACACTCCACACAATATACTAATTTTATTGTTTTATTATATTTGTACTTTGGCCATGTCAGACTCACAAAACATTTGGCTATTCAATTGGAGCTTGTTGAAGTCTCAATTTTTGCCTTTTAAAGTGTCAAGTAGGATTTGAGGTATCGGTTGAAGATGCTCCTATTGTGCTTATAACTCGTCGTCAACTTGCATGATGTGACAAAACATAGATCTGACTCTGTATTTGTATTTGGATCTATTTTAACCAAGTTCGATAACGTTCGAATCTTAAGCATATTAGGTTATTTCAAGATTTTAAGATTAACCACACAGATCCTTTAAATGCTCCTATTTTCGTTTGGTTGTTTATTGTTTATTAATTTCTGGTTCCATCATAACACATACACATAGAACACAAAAAGCTAATTTAAAATTGTAATAGTATACCAAGTCAAGCGAGACTTCATCTTTCATGTGCAGTGCTCATACAATAATTCTAGGTAGCATGAAAACTCAATCATAATTTCAATATAAAAGTGAACTATATAGTGTAGATTTAAAGTTAGCATATTGTGAATCATATATAAAATAAATCATTTTCAAATATTTAAATTTTGAGTAATTTTTCAAATATGAAGCACAACTGGTATTTATATATATTCATGATGAAGAAGAAGAGGAGAACAAGATGATGATATGAAGATTTTCCTGACATGACAACAAACATAGTAGTTTATTGCCATAGAAAATTGTCTAACCAGTAATGTTTCAAAGAAAGCAAATATCTGGCTAGCCAATTAAAAAAAGAATTAGGAGAGATCCCAAAGATATTCCCTTCTTCTATACATCTACATTTCCTTATTTTTATTTTTTTTCTGCACATTTTTTTGGGGTACCACCTAAGCTATTCTAAAAGTGACAACTTTGAGGTGAAATTGCACACAAGTTTACCAATTGATGAGCCACTAAAGCCCATATTTGGGCTGCCTTTTGATGAAGGGGATAATTGCATAGCACATGAAGTTTCTCCTTTGAGAACTGAAATTAGCCATAATGAAACTAGAAAGGGCTAGCAGGAGTAGTAAAGCTACAAACGAGTTGAGTTTTAGGGTATTCAAGCCTACTCAAGCTTGACTCGATTACTAAATAAATGAGTTTAAAATTTTAGCTTAAGCTTGTATATTTTGCAATGAGCTGATCTAAAACAAGCCGAGTTTGAATGGCTAATGAACCATTCAACTCGTTTGTAGCCCTAAATAGTACCAAATATTTTTTTTATCTATGCTGCATCACCTCGCTCATACTAGATCGTGAAATAGGCTTAGTATTTATGCACTGAGCTGCAACGCACATCACTCTAAATATTCCATACACATCCAGGTCTTCCATGTCTTCATCCAACAACTTATGGAATGCTCTTTGTAGCAACAATGGTCGAGCCTGCGATAACAGTAAGTATTTTGAGAACAAACTTTTAATTGCAGTATAAAAATGAGAACTGTAATTAAAAAAAAATATTGTTGACTAACCCAATCTACAAAAATTTTGTCATCCCGTGGAGCAGATCTTATGCAAAAGAGCCTTAGGAGCAGAATTCCAAAGTGAATGATATTGGATTTTAGAAAAGCCAATGATTCAAGGTTTGAAGGATCTGTGTGCCAAAACCTTTTTAACATACAGCGAAATTTCACATTAGAAACTCAGCATTATTATTGTTTTTTTGTTCTTTTACTCGGTGCTATGTCAAATGAAATTTCAAAAATTTACTGGAATTGGTATAAATGCAAACCTGTTACTAGAAATTGGTAACCCTTGTTTTAGATGCAGCCATGTAGCATTACCAAAGCCAGTGATCTATTACAACCCCGCCCCCCCTCCACCCCACACACACCTAAAAAAGTGAGGGAAAGAAGAAAACAAATGAAATGAGATTGTGAGAGGCCTTGGATTTTGAACTAATAAACAATTGTACCCATGATAGTTCTCTTATGTTTTTATTTTTCTCTATTTTTTGCACTAGGTGTTTCAAATTTTAACAATTTTTGCTTGTGGCTCTAAGTTAAAATTCAGAAAAATGTTGCACGGCCTTAAGTCATCATGAACAACGGGGCCTCGAAGACATTCTTCATGCATGTAGCGAACACCTTCACCGATTCCTATTGATATCTTTATTTTCTCTTGAAATGTCATTTTGGTCCACTGTTTTCCCTTTGAGTCTGTTCAAGAAAAGATTAGTAAGTACACATCATGGATGATCTCTAGACAGAAATCAACAGAGAATGCTTTTCTTTCATGCTAGAATGCTTTGATTACGAAATGAATACAACTTAATACGAGAACAACAAGCCTAGGTGCACATAATTGGTACACAGACTACTGCACAAGGAATAAGGGTATATGCACAAAATTAGTGCAAACAAAGACCAGGTTGTATGGGGCTCGTGCATTCTCTGTTCTGTGCATCGACATCATTGTCTTTGTTTTATGCACCAATTTTGTGCATATGTAAATGGACTAGTGAACAAAACTAGGTTCACATAATTGGTGCACAAAGCAGGGACAATAATAGTACATGCACAAATTAGTTCACAGAACAGATTCATAGAAGAACGTGCACAGAAAAAAGATAAGGATGCATAAAACATAGACAAGGATATGTGCAAAAAATTAGCGCATAGAAAAGAGACATGAGTGACTTCTGTGTGTTAATTCTATGCACATAGCAAAGTTGATATAGTAATTTGTTAACATTGTTTGATATGATATTCATAAAAAGATGAACCAAGTCATCAACAAACTTACCATGGAGAAATCTATCTAGTGTCCATCTTCGGGTAAAAAGATAGACAAGAACTGTACCATTTTTGCCCTTGTAGTAACCACTTAACCCCAATATATTCTTATGATGCATAGACAAAGCTGCTTTCTTTTCTACTTTAAGAACACAATCCAACTGCCCAATGAATCTTCTTACCAAAACTTAGGAGTGATGGTTACTCAAATACCCACAATATGTCTTAAAATTCTCAGTCTCTTCAAAACACGTCATTCTTGTGAATCCACCTGTTATTTCTTTCACCATTCCCCAGCTTAGTTGCAGTGGCATTCTCATCACAAGATTGACCTCAAAAAATCCTACGGATGAGATATTGTGATCATCTCTTAAGGTCTTGTTTTTGCTTGATGACTCAGACATTGTTGGATGATTTTCACCTTGTTTGTTTGTACTAGCATGATATGGAAGGAAGGGTTGAGATTTGGTTTTAGAATTTGGAAAGTTGAAATGAAAATGGGACTCATGTGGTGAGATTAATCCTTCATCATCAGGGCTACGAATCCCTACGACTTAGTGAACAACTTGTTCAAGGTGAGTCTTTATCGGCCAATGGTCAAGGATCGCTTGAGAGTGTGAAAGATTTTAGGGACACCTGATTATGTCCCACTACCAAACCACCCTAAATCCTTTTCCATGAAGCTTCTTGTTTAGAACTGTAGAGGTGCTGGTAACAAAATTTTTAGAAGAACTATGAAAGAGTGGGTGAAAATCCATAAGCCGTCTATCATTGAACTCATGGAAACCAAAGCTAGATTCAATTCAACCGGAATGGTTTTTAACAAGATGAATTTTACTGCCTCAATTCACATTGACCCCACAGGTAGAAGAAGAGGTATTTGGGTGATTTGGGACCCAGTTCAAGTTACGTTGAGGGCGTTTGAAGCTAATGATCAAGTCATTCATGCTAAAATCAAGAGGGAGAGCTATCTAGAGTGGATTCTCTCTTCAGTTTATGCAAGCCCTAATCCTGTTAATAGGGCCTTTTTATGGGATAATCTAGAAGCCATGGCTGATAACATGATAGAGCCTTGGATGATAGCGGGAGATTTTAATGATATTGCTTCTAGTATAGAAAAAATGAGTGTTTCTACGATTCAAAGCCAAACTAATTCTCGCAAATTTGTGGTAAGAATGAATAGGTGCAATCTCATGGACTTAGGGTGCTCAAGTCCTCATCTCACTTGGTCTAATGGGAGACAAGGCCTTGCCAATACTCTGGAACAACATGACCAGGCTGTTTGCAATTCAGAATGGAGGGTCAGTTATCCTGAAGGTGCGGTGAAGAATCTTCCCAGAACATATTCAGATCACTGTCTTATGGTTATCTATACTCAAGTATGTCTCTTCCTAACCCCTTTTGTCACGACCCAAACCCTATGGGTTTAGCGTCGTAACCGACCAGTAATCCTTGGATTACCAAAGGCCTCCGAGCAGAATAATATATAAATAGGGGCTGTGGAAGCAAATATATAAAAGACAACGTTCATCGAGCTGTGCAGACATACATGGGACAAAAATAATTTTTATAAACTTTTACAAACATACATGTGACGTCACATAGATACAATAATTATACGTCACTCCATGTATAAATAACCAAATAGAACTGTTCACAACCCAAGCAAAAAACAAATTTTTACACAGCCCCGGGACCTCCTCGGGAGGCGCAAAGGGTGGTTGACAAAACGAAATTCTAGGCCATCAACTCTGGGCCTGGTCACATACCTGATCACCTACATACATAATATAAATAATGAGCGGGAGCCCAGTGAATAATAACAAAATAAAGGGTTTTAATGAATGTTGTTCATAACAGTTACAGAAAACAGAATTCAGTAGTTAACAGAAATAGGTTCATAATCATGTTCAGAAATTAGAGTTCATAACAGAAACAGATTCAGATTCACACTCAATATCGGAATTTGCAGTTAATCATACGTGGTACATTTATTAGCACCAGCAGAAACAGTTGACCTATAAAGGGATGGCCATAAAGGCATACAATTGACTCACGCGCACGGAGACGGTAGTTGGCTCATGAGACATACAATTGGCCCATAAATGGGACGTATACATAAGGATCTATAACAGTTGGCTCATGAGACATACAGTTGACCCATAATTAGGACATAACAGAACAAATAACAGATGTCATCTGAAGCTAAGAATGCCACAAATACATTTCAGAATACAGATCATCTTGTATCATTCAGAAAATACTTATAAATTGAACATAGCTTTACAAAGTTATTACTCACAATTAATAGATGGCTTCAAGGTAACAGATAGTAGGGGCAAATCAGGCGTCTTGTAACGCGTGACCTATACAGTTACAGAACGAACATATACTGAATTACACATCCGGAAACATTAATTTAATCCATTCTTATCTTGGTGTGTTTCTACTTCTTATCCTCAGTATGGTGTCATAATCTTGGCCTAGGAGTACCTAGGATGCAACGTGGATACTAAAATGTACTTGAAAACACTTAACAAAAATTGCTGAAAACAGGGGTCCAAAGAAGAAGAAGAGCATAGAGAACTTATTCATCTTCACCAAAACCCTCTCTCTCTCTCTCTCTCTGTTGATTGTTCCTAGACAGAGAGAGGCTGGTCTGACCTTGATCTTGGATGTGGACTGCATTTATGGCATCTTGTATCGATCTCAACAATGAGGTACCTGCCACAAAAACTAAAAAGGGTATATTGGTCTTTTAACATCTCCTCTCACCACAGGATAGAAGTATAAAAATGACTTGCGACTCGTGGGTGGCTCGGCTGCAGCCCGAGATGGACCCATCCCATTTAGGCTCGCTTGCGCCCAAGCCCGAGCTCGAGTCCCTGGGTTAGGGCTAGGGCTTGGGCCATCGTTTTGACGCCTGGCCCGGTTTGTGGCCTAACCCATCGGCCTGTTTAAGACCCACTAAAGGTTCGACCTGAAGCCCAGTGTATTTTTTAATGGAAAATAATAAAATTTTGATAGAAAAAATTAAAAAAAACAAAAAAAACAGTCAAGCTCGTCCAAGCCCGAGGCCAAGCCCAAGCCCATTGGGCCAGCCCCCCCAAGGCCTGAATACCTCTGGGCTTGGGCCTGGACTTGAGCTTAATTTTTTGGCCCTTGGGTTGGCCGGCCTGCCCCGAATTTTGGCGGGAGCCCGCGAGGCCCAACATGGGTTAAGCCGGGCCAGATTTACACTCCTAACAGAGGAGTAGGGTTCTGGTCCCACCATTTTAGGAAATTCTATTTCCACACACTTACTTATAGTACACTTAATGAAATTTTATTTTAAGGACAATTATATTCTAAAGCAAAATGACCATATGAACAATAATAACAATAATTTCAACAATGGCACTCAATAGTTTCAATAACAACAACAATCAGAGCTTTGATATCAACAAAAAAAGGAATAGAAAGCTACTGGTGTTGCTGTTTGATGTAGTGGACACCATCGTTCGTGGGTGGTCCTTTTTACCACGACGTTCCTGCCTTCTTCAGGTAACTCCACTCATCTCATTGATTTCATTCCAATCCTTCAACCCTATACCCCTTTTTCATTACTTTGTTGGTTTCTTCTTCAATTTGGCTTCTCAAATTTCCAGAGGAAAGCTCTCTTCGACAAACCAGTGACTTTTTTTTTTATTATTATTTTTTTTTGCGTCGAGAATCAACTGTCAAAATTATTATTTTTGTTCGAAAAACAATATTCAAATAAAAAAAAATAATTACATTTGGAAATCAAGTTTTGAAATTTTAGGAAATTTTTGAAGGTTAACAACTGAAAAAAAATAATTTTATTTAGAAAACTAGTACTGGCGAGCTTAGCTTTGCTTTCGACAGTCTCTTCTTGTCGTCATCTTTGTCGTCGGCGGCGGTGAGTGAACAAGCTTGGTCCTTACACTTCTGGTCTTCTCCTGAGAGGTTATCTTTCTTCTCTCCAACAACTTCTCCATGGCTATGGAGCTTCGAATTCGGTGAGCAGAGAGACTGTTTCCTCATGTTCAATGTGTGTGTGTGTGTGTGTGTGTGTGTGTGTGTGTGTGTGCGTATGAGCGAGAGAGAGAAACGGTGAGAAAGATACAGAGATCTATGGCTTGGTTCACCAGAAGCTAACTGTCGATTTTCGGTGGTTATGTGGGTGTGTGTTTGAGTAGAAATTGTGTGTACAATATTTGAGGTAAGGGTTAAAATTGAAAAATATACCGTGTGGAATGAGACAAATAATATCTAATCAAATTGATAAATGTGTGCACTGAGAAATAATGTGTACTGAGGTAAGTAAACGTGTGGAAATAGAATTTCCCCACCATTTTCTCTTGGATCCCATTTCTTTTAATTTTTTTTATTACAATTTTATCCTAACACTAATTTTTATTTTTACCCATCTTTATCCTTCCAACTCTAACCCAAACCCTCCATCTCCACTTCACGCCACTCCACTCCATTTCAACCGACAACCTTCTTCAACGGCCTCCTCCTCCTCCTCTCTCTTCTTCTTAATCTTTTTTTTATTCAGATCCGACCACCTTCCACCCTGCCATCACCGCCTCTCCACTCTTCATTATCACCAGCAACCCTCTTTCTTCTTCCTCCTCTTTTTCTCATCTTCATCATCACCATCACCGCCTACCATTACTGTCGACAACATCTTTACCAAACCCTAGCCACTGCGAGGAAGAGAGATCGAGCAAGATAGAGAGAGAGAGAAAGAGAAAGAGAGAGATTGAGTGACAGAAAACAAGACAAAGGTCGAGCGAGATAGAGAAAGCAAAATAGAGATCAAGCGAGATAGAGAGAGCAAGCGACAAAGATCGAGCAAGACAAAGATCAAATGAGAGAGAGAGAGAGAGAGAGAGAGAGAGAGAGAGAGAGAGGACCCAGATCAAGGGAGGTGGTAATGGTAGATCCAATCTTCTTCCTCTTCTCCTTAAATTGATTCAGCAAATGGAGAGCTGTGGTCGTGATCTTCGCCGCAGATCTGGAAGAAAAAGAAGAAGAAGAAAAAGAAAAAAAAAGAAAAAGAAAAAGAAAAAAAGAATGAGGTCGTCGGTGGGGGAGGTGCTGAGAGGTCACCAGAGGGACATGACTACCGATCGGAATTGATGAAGATGAGATTAGGGTTAAGGACTAGGGTTTGTGTTTGGTTTGGAGTTAGGGGTATAGTTGGTATTAAGGTAAGGGGTTTAAAGAGAAAATGGAGGAAACTCATATTTCTGGGTGGGGGTTCAAAAAAGTGAGTTGGTCAAAGTAAAAAGGTGGGGGCAAATAACAGCCCTCTAAGGAAAATTCTATTTATAAATTCTCAGTACACACTACAAATAGTATTTAGATATAAATTTTTGAACAAAAATTGGATGTTCGGATTTAGACTAATAAACAAAAATAAATTGTTTAAATATATATCTGTTCAATTGTTTATATTCGAATAACTACTTTCTGTTCATAAATTTATATATGAATATTTGACTTTTGTTTGAAAATTTATAATTAAACGTCATTTGTGTTGTGTATTGAAAGTTTGTATGGGATGCAAATAGAATTATTCAAAAATTAAGTGGTATCTAAAATGAAAAATTTTAAAAAAATTAAATACACATTTTACCCCTATAGTGCAACTTAGATTTTATTTTAGTTCTTATTGTTCAATTTGAATAATTTGTTCTTTATACTTTAAATTCAGTTTCAATTTAATTCTTCCGTCTAAATTTCTATTAATTTTGTTTGTGTATACACTTTACATTTTTTATAAGTATTTCAAAATTGTTAATTTTAACCTTCAATTGAGTTGAAAGGATCACTTGAGGATTTCTACCTTGAACTAGAAGAGGTTCTATTTTCTTTGGACAAGCAAACTCGGAGTGAGAGATCGGAATGATGGAAATTGAAATTATAGTTAAAGTGTGGACCTTTTGTTGAAGTATTGAGAAAATACAGTAACTTCTACAAGTTTTGTATACTTATATGAAAGAATTATCAGTAAGTCTTATTTTACTCTCAAAATTAGTATTGAATCCTATTATCTTTCAATATAGACAATTAAATTCTATTTTTTTATAAATTATTCCAACAAGTTCAATCCTCCAATGTATTTGATCTATATGTTATCCTTCTAATTTAAAATAAACAACCATGTCATAATTAATTTTAATTAACTTACAACCATTAAAATAAATCCTCTCACAATGTTTTCCTACGATATCTTTCTCAGTTTTAGTATGTAACGCCCTCAAAATAACAACAATAAACCCATCAGATAAGACATGCATTTACATATAAACTAACCACACTCTTTTATTCATTAGAGTTTCATTACATAAGTATTACATGTTACTATCAAAAACAAAATGCCCTACGGGCTTACAGCTTTCCAAGTTAACACTTGGTTACAACAAAAGAGTACTAACTCGTTTACACAATCCTCCAATGTATTTTATCTATATGTTATCCTTCTAATTTAAAATAAACAACCATGTCATAATTAATTTTAATTAACTTACAACCGTTAAAATAAATCCTCTCACAATGTTTTCCTACGATATCTTTCTCAGTTTTAGTAAATGGTCACCAGTTGGAGTTTTTCTATCCTTGTACGGGCTTCAAACAAGGTGATTCCTTGTATCCTTATCTTTTTATTTTGGTAATGCAAGTGCTATCGGTTGGTTTCAATTTATCTTGTGTCACAAGGAGTTTGTAAGTGGATAGCTATTAGTCGGTACTCACCTTCTGTTTCGCATTTACTCTTTGTGGATGACATTTTCATTTTTATGAGGTTTATTAAGGAGGAGGTGTGGATTTTGACTTGGTTTCTAAATGCGTTTTGTGATTTATAGAGGAGGTGTGGATTTTGACTTGGTTTCTAAATGCGTTTTGTGATTTATCGAGACTGAGAATTAATTTGAGAAATTCCGAAATGTTTGTGAGCCCTAGTATTGAGTTGGCACAAAGACATTTCCTTCAATCCATGTTAAATTTTAAGGTGATATCCCATCAAGGAGTGTACATGCTTCTTTGAATTTTTCTCTTCATAGTAAAAAATAGATTTTTGAACCTTTAGTTGATAGAACTCAAAATAAACTCCAAGGTTGGAAGCGCAGGTTTTTGAACAAGGCTAGGTGTTGTGTCCTTGTCAAAATGTTCTTTAGTCAATTCCTCTTTATATTTTCTCCCTTATTAGAGTTCCTGGATTTATCATTGCGCAAATCAATAGCATTATTCAAAAATTCCTTTGGTTTTCTGATAAATCCAAAGACATTTATTGGCGAAAATGTGGGAGTAATTTGTTTACCCAAAGGAAGGGGAGGGTTGGGAATCTGATATCTAGCCAGTTTCAACCAAGCCCTTTTAGCGAAATATGTATGGTGACTCCTCAAAAATCCTAAATCACTTTTGTCTAAGGTTCTATTAGGGAAGTATTGTCACAATATTCCCATAGATTTGACTAATTCTAATAAGGTTACCACTTGGGGTTGGAAGAGTGTCTTGCGGGGAAGAGATTTGTTAATAAAGCGTCTGCGATGGACTACTGGAGACGGTGTAATCATTAATCCATTAGAACATCAATGGTCCCTTCTATTGACAATTTGCTAAGAGGAAAAGACTTATCCCGTTTCTTTCCATCTATCACACTCTCGCATTTTATTGACTCAGAATCTCACACTTTCTTGAACTTCTTTGAGTCCTTTTTTCCTCCAGAATGTACACGTCTCATTCAAGGCATTCATCTTCCTCTATATGCAACTAAAGACCTGTCTGGGGTCAACTAAGAATTGGAAATGTAGGAAGTGATTTTGGAATACTCCTTTAATCCAAACAAGCCCTTGAAAGATCTTCCAATTGTCACCTGAAATAGAAGAAAAACTCTGGTCTGTGGTGCCAGAATTAACACTTTGACAAACAAGTAAGTTTCTTTTGAAAGAAGAGTCTTTTGTTTCTTAGAGTGCAAGTTTTTTAGAACATACCTCATCCTTTAGCCTTGGTTCCCTTCTATAGCATCCTTTACCTTGATATTTTCTCCTGCAGCTTAATCCCTCGTCATCACTCTGTCAGGGCCCATCTTCTTTCCATACTTTTTAGAAAGGGACAGCTTGGACCCACTTGATGGGACTATGCCGATTTGTCTAATATACTCGGCTTAGACACATAGCTCAGATACCCTTAATTCGTTACACTCTTTAGCCTATAGCGATTCTAGTTTAGACCTGACCCATTTTGTATTCTGGACTTGGGTTTTATGATTCTGTACTGTTGTTCTGGCCTTTTTCTCTTTATTCTCCATTGAAATTGAGTATTGGAGTGCCTTGGTTATGTTTGAAACAAGTTGGTTACTGGTTGGTTCAAATTGTTGTTGCCCAGATTTTGGCCTGTTCGTTCAAGCGAATGAATTGTAAGAATTAGTTTCATTTAGCAACATGCATGGCAAGTTCTCATGGATTTCTTGAACTTGCATTTGTTTTCTTGCATGATTCTTGTGATTTGAGAAGGAAACTCCATGAATTTGGAGAATTGGAGCTCAAACTTGCATGTCTATTAAGTTATATTTCAATTCAAGAATTGATTTGTTTTTACATGTGACACGCCCCACATTTTATTACTCGGAATCCATTATCAAGTTCATTAAACATATTCAATTT